TTGAAAGCAGGGTCTCTAAGAGATAATTGTACACCATATTCATAGCAGCATTATTTGCGATGGCCAAAAGGTGGAAGCAACACAAGTGTCCATCAACAGATGAATGGATAGGCAAAATGTGGTCCATACATACAATGGAATATTATTCAGCCCTTAAAAATGAAGGAAATTCTGGCACATGCCTCGACGTGAATGAATCTTGAGGACGTTATGCTAAGTGAAATAAGCCAGTCACAAAATGACTAACACTTCATGATTCCATTTATATGAGGTGTCTAGAGTAGTGAAACTGATAGAGACAGAAAGTAGAATGGCGGTCACCAGGGCTGGTGGAAGTGGGGAATGGGGACTGAGTGTTTAATGAGTGCAGAGTTTCAGTTTAGGAAGATGAAAAAGTTTTGGAGATGGGTGGTGGTGACGGTTGCACGACAAAGTGAAAGTACTTACTACTGAAACGTGTGCTTAAAAACGGTGAAGGCGGTAAACTTTATATTCTGTGTATTTTACCACTTAAAAAATTTAAGAAGGTATGATAAATTTTCCGCTCTTACTTTTCCTCTTAGTATCCTTTCGATACATAGAATTCTGCATAATTTTGGAAAGGCATTTTGAGGGAACAGCAGCTTTGGGGCCCCTTTGGGTGACAGAGCAGTTACTAAAAAGGAAGATCGTGTATGAGGCCACAGACCAGAATCTTCCGTGGAGGGAGACAGACATCAGCAGTTCCCTTAGGTGTACCGTGTCTTACTTTCTCAATTTGTAAAGATGCTCTTGAGCCAGACCTCTTAAAACTTGACCTCTTATAAAATACCCTCAGCAGGTCAAGTGGACAGCAACTCCATGGAAAAAAACATGTTTCCAGCCTCACATGCAGTGAGTGTGTGTCCCTCTGTGACTGGAGGGACAGCCAGCAGTCCAGGAGTCAAACGTCCCCACGAGTTTGTGACCCACAACTCCTTCCCACCTGGGTCTTGAGCAATCAAGGTCTCAGAGCCTGCCTTGGGGACAAGCGGTGTCCTTTCTCACAGAGCTGGGATTTGAGGATGACCAGATGACCAACTGAATAGAAACAAATGGAACAAGGGTCCATTCATGTCCAGGTCACAGGACCAGGTCACAATGCCTATAAATCACTCTTTGCCCAGGACGCATAGTGGCCTATGTGAAATGACCACTGCCACACACGGCCACACTCCAATGGCTTTTTTGTTGGGAGGTGCTCTCAGGCATGCAGTCTGCTCTCCTCCCAGCCTCTGAGGGGTGCCGCTGAGAAAGACCCCAGTGTCTGACCCTGAGACACATGTGTGCCTGAGTCAAGTCCCCTTGGTGTGGCCTGTTCGTCCCTCAGATGTACAAAAGCATGACTGTGGTTTGTTGGTTATTACATCCACCAAAGAACAGGCTTTACTTCTAAGAGAACAGCGATGCCAAATTTCCTCCATCGTGGCAAGCTGCCGATGTATGCAAGGAGCAGAGACCCTTCCAGAACATCTCACCCTAGTGGGTCCTGCAGAGAAGAGGAGCAGAGAGGAAGAGAGGGAATCAGTCCTTTGTTACTTGATTTTATAGCCATTTAAATTTGTTAAAGCAAGCGTGCATCCCTTCAGAAAATAACAAAGAAATGCACACATACGAAGGTGAAAACTACCTTTGATGCTACAGACCTGACTTGGGTGTGGGTGTCTCCAGAGCATCTTAACACATATTAGATATCAGAGAACGGGCTGGGGCGAATTTGAACAACAGATCTCATGTGGACAGATGTTGAAATTAATGAAATAATATTTCTCCTGGCAACGCTGCTCAAGATAACCATGAATACTGATAAAAAATAATCAGTAGCATCAGGTAGGTGAATATGCAATGGGTCTACCAGAGTTAAAAAGCTGAAAATCATCTTATTTCTGAGGCTCACCTGAGCCAGAAGCCCAAACTTCTGAATGTCAATAAGAGAGAAGAAAAAGTCAAAAATCTCTTCCCCTCTTGCAGGAATCTAGGGAGAAATGCATGCTAGCTTCAATAGACCCCAAGCATGACTCCTGGGTCGTGTGGCTCACCCTGACAAAACCAGAAGAATGGCTCAGTCTGCGACAAATCCCCCAGAAGGGCTACCCAGCAAAGCAGGTCTCCGGGGATGGAGCAAGGCTTTACCTGGAAGGTCTGTGTTTCTACAGCACTTATCAAATTCCTGTGGATGTTGGAGGATGGAGAGACACATTCAGGAGGGAGTCGCAAATGACAGATGTTTATAACATTAAAGTATAGTTTGTGCACCACTACCAGGAAAGAAATATTAGCCAGAGAATAATGGAATTTGGTGGAAATAACAGCTCCTCCCCACAGACTTTATGTGAATGAATATGTAACCTCAGACCCCCCCCCCCCCCCCCCCCAGGATCACTTCAACTGACTCCATCCAGAATCAACAGAATGATTAAGATTTGCCTTTCAGAAAATCTGCAGTCATGTGGCCAGGGCATGCGCAGAAGAAATCTAGACCTGACCCGACCATGGAACCATCCTCCTCCCCACAGAACCCAAGGATGGGGACACAACCAGAACTTGAAAGTTGGACTCTTATCTGAAGCAAGATGTCCCTCATTCAGGAAGAGCCAGTGTTAAAATTCCTTCCCCACCTCATCCAAATGCTTAGAACTCTATCATAAAAGTTTAGAACCTCATCGTAAATGTTTAGAACCCTGTCATAAATGTTTGAAACCTTACCATAAATGCTTGAAGACCCCCAAAGCCTCTCCACCAGTGTTTGCACGTGCCAGCCTTTTCTCCCTAACCTCTGAAATTTCGCCCTAAATCCTGAATCGGGGAGGCAGATCTCAGGGCACAAGCCTCACGTTCTCCCTGCAGATGGATCACGCAGAATAAAGCTAATCTCTTTTCCCAAAGACTGGTGCCATAATTAATTGGCTTGTTTATGCCCATGGGGCAGAGAACCCCAATTATGTGCAGTAACAAATAATTCACATCTGCAAGGCATGAAACTCAGCACGAAGATTATTCTCAAGGATCCCAGTGGCAGCTACACTCACCCTTATGGGGGAAAATGAATGGAGGTCCCAAGCCCCTCCCTACTCCCTGGTTACATAGTCCACAAAACTCATGAAATTTCAAGCTCCCTGTTAAAGATACTAAAACAATCAACACATCCTCAGCTATGGGCAAAAGCGGCTGTCAATGGAAGCATCTCTAGTCTTACAAAGACCATTCCATCGCAACTGAGGGTCCTTGTCGCCCACCTTAGCGGCCACTCTGCTGGCCTGGACCTAACTCAGACTTTCCACTGGGTGGTATGACCACATGCAAGCTCTTGTTCACAGCCAGCTTCTGGGGGCCCATTAGGAAAGGAGCTTTGTGAAATATCTGAGAAGGATTCCGAATAAACATCGTTCTCAAGGGTTAACGTAAATTCCATGAAATGTCTCTACAAGTGGGTTATTGGCTATGAAATTAACAGAAAAAAACCCTCCAAGAACAAAAGGATCCTAAAATGTTTGAAATTCTTTCTTAAAATGTCAAGACTCTTCCCAAGTTGACTCACTTTCTTCTCAATAGTTATTTTTTCCATCACTAGGAGCGAAGACACGAAATATCCTTTTTGTCTGAAAATCTCTAATTTTACTTAGTGTAGTTAGATCTATAAAGTTGGGTGGGATTGTTTGCTTGATTTAGTTTTTTTTTTTGTAATATAACTTTTTCTATAATTGTTGTCAGGGTGCCAGAAACTCTGAGAACTTAAAACAAAACAAAACAAACCCTTGCCTGAGGTCTATAAGCTGCTACAGCTCTTCTCTTAACATGCCTGTAACTCTGGTTTTCCAGAGCAGGAAAGCACAATACACATTCTTTTTTAAACCTACAACTCTCTTTTCCCATAAAATAGCTACCATGTTAATAGAATTTCACTGGATTATAAGAAATACACAAGAAAACAATTATTTCCACATCTCAAATGCTCAAATAAACTATGGTCCATCAACACAGTGGGAGCCATGAAAATACAGCTATTAAAAATTATATTTTCAGAGAATTTTTAATATTGGCAAAATGTTGACCATCTGACGTCAAATGAAAGCAAGCAGGCTATTAAGCTGCCTACACAAACTGCGTGTTCTAGGAAAGAACTCTTTTATTTTTCGTTTAGTTATAATTTGTCAAGGACTTGCTATGTGCAGGCAATGGAAGAACCTTCACAGACTTCATCTCATTTATTCTTTATGAAATCTCTACGAGGTAGATGTTGTCCCCATTTTATAGATGAGAAAAGTGAGGCCCGGAGAAGTCAAATAGTCCAGCACTTGAGCATGGTAAAAGCAGCATTTGAACTCCATACCTGAGCTCTAACCTTAACTACACAGGGGTGTGGTTTCCTCACCAGCAGCATCAGCGTGACCTGAAACTCAGACATACCAGCCTCACCCCAAACCTTCCGAATCAGAATCTGAATGTCCTCAAGATCTCCAGGCAATCCATCTATACGTTCAACTTCGACACGCACTGCTCTACACAACCATGTGAAGAAGAACAATGTGGAGAAAAGGCATCAAAATGTTAACAGTGAGTAATTGTGACTTCACAGGTGACTTTAATTTTCTTATTTACACTTTTCTGTATTTTCCAAATAGCTTCAAGGAGAATAAAGTTCATCCATAATAAGAAAAATGTTGACATGAGTTTTCCATTTTCACTTGTTGATACCATAGAACATGGATCTACAACATCGTAAGTTGCAAAAACATAAATCAGAACCAACTCTTGCCCCTCCATCACCATCCAAGTCCAGATTTATGAAGCATAGCCATGGATTTTGATGTAAACAAGAAAGGGAAAGTCTAAAGTGGGGAAGATGCCATCCAGTGGGATGCCATCAACCGCAACTGTTTTGAGAAGGATGGTCTCCAACCTGCCGGGGCAGACTGGGGGTCCAGCAGAGATGCCGCATGGAGACAGATGGAGAGAGAGCAAGCAAGATCGGGTGTACTCACCAGGGAGGTGTTGCGCCGCAGGCTAGGGTACCAAGGAGAAGCTTTACCAGGGAACGAGCTAATGAGTGGATTCGAGGATGGGCGATGGCGTGCGGCCCACAGAGAAAGATGCTGGATGCTTTGAAGATGAAAGCACTGTCACAGCCCATCATCAAGAGACTGTCCATCTGCAGCTGGGACACGGTGCCTGCATGCCTTCCTGCCCCGTGCATGGAACCGCCCTGCCACGGCACTGCATGAGAATGGGCAGCAACAGAAACAAAACTCAGTCCAAAGGCAGGCAGCCCCGGCTCTGCTTTTCCTCTGCAGCCGTTTCAAAATCAGCAGGGCAGCTGTAGAAAGCATCAGCGTCTCTTAAATGCTAACAGTCCATGGTGTGAATTGCAGATTTATCTCGGACTTTCTCCACTGAGAGCAGCTCCTTTGTTCTAATCCTCTTGTCCGGTTCTTGACTCTCACTGGCTTTGAATAGCCAGTAAGGCTTCTCTGTACCCAGGAATGGGATTCTGCCCAGCCCCTCATCAGACCAGCCATCTCTAGTGGCCCCAGATATCTCCCCCACTCCAGCGACACCCCTTCTCCCTGCCCCTGCCACCCACACGAGCATTGAGGGAAGGGGTCCTGGCCCCTGGCCACAGTCCATTCACCAGAGGGTTGATACTTAACCCAACCTCGGCCAGCAAATTTCTCTGGAACTTTTCAACTTGGATCTAAGGGATCCCATGCCTCATCTGCAGTGAAAGCTTTTAAGACAAAAATCCAGGAGCTGTCGGTGGTCCCATCTCCCTGTTCATGTCGAACACCAGCCTGTCCTGACAGAGCATTCAGAGGTGCCCACACTCCTGACCTATTATTCCTGAGATCAAGCCCTTTGCTTAGTGAAATCGAAAGAAGGAAATAGCCACAGAGGACCTGCAGTGGGCTGAACTGCGTCCCCGGAAGATATGCCCAACTGGAACCTCAGAAGGAGACCTTATTTGGAATAAGGATCTTTGCCGATGTAATTAAATTGCCTTCATTAGAAGAGATCATCCTGGATTAGGGCTGGCCCTGAATCTTTGTAAGACACAGAGGAAGAGAGTGGTTTAAAGAAACACAGACACAGAGGACACAGCCATGTGAAGATGAGGCAAAGAGTGGAGTGAAGCAGCCACAAGCCCAGGAACGCTGGGAGCCACCGGGAGCTGGAAGAGTCACCGCAGAATCCTCCCCTAGAGACTTAGGAGAGAGCATCGCCCTCCCGGCACCTTGATTCTGGACTTGCGGCCTGCAGAGCTGTAGACAATAAGTTTCTGATGTTCGAGGTCACCGAGTTGTAGTACTTTGTTACAGCAGCCCTAGGAGACAGCACAGTAGGGCAGGTGCTGGGGCAGAAACTTGAATTAAGCACTAAACACTGCCAGGCAGACGGATTGGCAGTGTCCGTAGTAGGGATGGAGGCTTCCAGAAGAAGCAGCCACGTGAAACAAGTCTTGAAAGATGCACAGGAGGTGGTTGTTCTGGCCAAAGCTGAGCAGAAACCCTGTAGGGAGCCAGCCGTTCTTGAAAGAGCCGCACGTGGGGCAGCCCTGATGGGAGCTCCATGATAACCAACAGAACGGTCAGCGGGACACGCGCAGTGAAGCCTGTTTCATCTGGTGAAAGAAAAAAATAAATAAGTCAATTTATGGCCATATCAGCCCTGCCCCAGGGCAGCATGCTTGCAGAATGCTTCAATCCAGAAAATACACATATTACAAAGGAAGCCAGAGGGATAGTAATGCAATGTGGGCAGTGACACCCGGAAGTGAGCAGAGTGATATCCCTGACACGGACACACATGGATCAGGGAAGGACATCTTTGATGCAACAGAGCACAGAGGGCCAGGGTCACCCTGCTGTCCTCCGGGAAGATGTTGTGTTCACCCAGAGCCAAGCTGATGAATGTGTGGCTGCTGACAGCGACGCCAAAAGCTTCCAGTGGGACAAAGATTCTCCACTGGCTCCTTCAGCACCCTCACGGCTGGGGAGATGAATCAATGGAAGATCCTCCTTCTTGTTTCTCTCTTGCCTGTGTCTTCACGGGCTCCGTCTGACTTGTTCTTAGAAGTGCACGCACATCTCAGAATAGATAGGTACAGGGTCCCTTGCCAGGGAGCAGAGAGCATTGGCATGCCCCACTCACGCATGCCTTCCTGACTCCAACCCAGGCAGGGCACTTACAGACAAGGACAGGAATCCCTTCCCAACCAGGTGCAGCAGACATTTTTTACATTCTTCCTCCTTGCACAGACCTGCCCCAGGGAGGATTCATGCTTTGGAGCCTGTCACACCCAATTCAGCTCAGCATGCCTGGGCCACACCTGAGGGTCAACAAGCCCAGGAGCACAGGGTTTGTATTCTCCAACCAAAGGGCATCTCTCTTTCTTCATCTTTTCAGCTCCTATTTGCCCAGAGCCCAGAGCGTGAGCTGGTATTGGGGATACAGTGTCTCTGACTTTGTAACCTCATGGCTACTTAAGGACCTTGGAGAGTGTTGCAGCACGCCACCCAAAGGGAAGCTCCTTCGCGGCCACCAACAATTCCCCAGTTCATTCAGCATAGAAGCCTATGGCAATGGTTCATTTACCTTAGATGTGGCTGACTCCCTGATGTCACCGGAGGGGATACTGCATCCTAACGCTTCTGATATCTCCCTGTCTCGTCTGGTCCTCCTAGGAATGAGTACCAGGGAGCTCAGAGCCTCTGCCTGGGACGGCTGCTCTCTGAACCTGGGGCTCACCTTCCACTGTCTCCCCTTCCTTCTTCCTTGGTGCCCCTTCCATCACACCTGTTCATCCCATGCCCCTACCTGGGCATTTGCTTCGTGCCCAGCCACTGGTGTAGGGGATACCAGGATGAGTAAGACCACCTGCCCTCATGGCACTCACGGTCCCAATGGAAAGGACCCCATTAAGTCATGAAGACACAAACATCTAATTGCCTAGGTCTAAGCCCTCGGCTGCACTTCTGGACTCCCAGTGGCCATCTCTTTCAGATTTCCTGCCCCAGCCCATCATGTCCCTCCTGTAGTTTTCCTTACCCACAGGACAAATTCTAGATTTCAGATTCCCTCCCTAATATCTTCATTTTGTGCCCCCCACCACCCAGACTGCCTTAGCTCTCTTGATCCCCAGCGTAGCCCCATTCCCTAAACACACCGTTTGGTTGATGGCACAGCCAGAAACCCCTCCCCGTTCCTCCAGGCCCTGCCTCTGGTCCTCTGAACTCAGATCAAGGCTCTTCCTCTCTGGAAACTGCTCCTTCTGCGTCTTCCCCTACAGCAGTGCTAGCATCTGCTCATCTGGGATGAAAAACATTGCTCTAAAAACCACAGCCATTTCTCATGCTAGGAAGCGGTGGCAGAATATGACCTTGAGGGAGCTAGTATTTTGCAGGGAAAGCTGCTGGGTCATGCAGAGAGCAGGCCAGGGCGGGGAGAGGGGTGGCCTGCGGAGCCGAGTGCAGAGCTGGGATCATGTTTTGGCTTCCATTGGGAGAAATATTCGAGAAAAAGGGACTGGGCTCCCTCTTTTCCCACAGGCTGGTGGTGTAACTCTGGTCATTTGGCTCTAAAGGCCAGCAGGGGTCCTCTCCAAAGCCTGAGGCACTTGAGGGACTTGAGAAACATCATACCCCACCATGTGGCTGCTGACTGTTCTTGATCGTGTGCCCTGTTCCTGCCACAATGAGGAAAACCTCTGCAAGCCAGACAGATCCTGGGGCAAAACCCGTTTTTGCATAAGATGGTGCAGAATAGAGGGAAAAGGTTTCTGTGTTAACATGCAAATCTGGAATCTTACTCATTTTTGCATTGTCAGTAGACCCCACACCCAGAGGAGGCCAAAGAGGAGTAGGGGGTCCTGGATTTAAGATCCTCCGCTCAGAGCCTGGGGTCAGCTCTGAGCACAGCCAGGGAGCATCAGCCAAAAAGAGGGAGGGAGAGGGCACCCCGTATCTCAGAGCTGGGCTGGGTGGTGGGTGGGTCAGTGCCAGCAGCAGGTTTGACTCCAAAGGTCAGCTTCGCATGGGCCACCATGGATGGCTCAGGGCCAGAGGCTGGGATTGGAGGAGCCGGGCCAGCGGGTTAACACCAGAGCTGGGATCTGAAACAGAGGAAGGCGTGCAGGGCAGGAGGTGTCTGGAAGGCATTACTTAAGGCAGCGATTCAGCCTTCCCCGCAGATGGGGATTCTTTCATGTGTAACCCGTGACCTTCAGGGCTTCCAGTTTCTGTGTGAGTATTAAATAGCCTCAGAGGGCATGTCGCAACAAGAAACCCAGGGTTAATGGCTAGTGCAGGCACTGATACCAGGTCGCAGACCTGCAGGGCCCGCTGACTTCATGTGCCATGGTCATTTAGTCATGTGACACTATGTTCCATCAGTTCATTCACTGGACAGAGCTAGGAGAGGTGCCTGGCAGTGGGCTCTGGGCTTCTAAGATGCCAAGGGGAGTCCCTGCCTCCCAGCCTAGTAAGGGAGGCAGCCCACAAACATACAATTATTAAAAATAAAGCCAGAATTTGCCCACCAGACTCCCTTTTATTGCCCCAAGAGGCCTGGTATCTCATACTGAAATCCTTCTTCTTCCCTGCCCCAGGGCGGCAGGAATCTAGGTCACTGTCTGGTTACACCCTGTCCCACAGCATTCTTGTGTCCCAGCAGAGACCGGCAGAGTGCTGAATATGTTGATTAAAACTCAGTGGGCCGGGGGCTGGCCCCGTGGCCGAGTGCTTAAGTTCACACGCTCTGCTTCTGCGGCCCAGGACTTTGCCAGTTCGGATCCTGGGCGTGGACATGACACCGCTCATCAGGCCATGGTGAGGCGGTGTTCTGCATGCCACAAGTAGAAGGACCTACAACTGAAAAATACACAACTGTATACTGGGGGGCCTTGGGAGAAAAAAGAAAAATAAAATCTTTAAAAAAAACTCAGCGGGTCATCATCAAGGGGCACTGTTAACCGAGTGAAAAGGCAACCCATGGAATGGGAGAAAGTATTGGCAAATCACGTATCTGATAAAGGATTCATATCCAGAATATGCAACGATCTCCTACAACTCAACAACCACAACAAAACTCAATTCAAAAATGGACAAAGGACTTGAATGGGTAAAGAAACTACACAAATGGCCAATGAGCACAGAAGAAGATGCTCAAAATCGCTAAGCATTAAGGAAATGCAAATCAAAACTACAAGATGCCATGTCACGCCCATTATGATGGCTATTATTTAAAAGAAAAACACACAACGAAAAACAGAAACTAGCAAGTGTTGGCAAGGATGTGCAACAAATGGAGCCCTGGTGCACTGTTGGTGGGAATGGAAGATGATGCAGCCAGCACAGCAGCTCCTCAAACAGTTAAGCATAGAATTACCATCTACTCGAGCAATTCCACTTCTGGTTTATAGACCCCCAAAGAAGTGAAAGCAGAGACTTGAACAGATTCGCGCACACCCGTATGCACAGTAGCTTTATTCGCAATAGCCAGAGGGTGAAAACAACTTAAGAG